TTTGATAGTGTAACGGCAACGCGGAAAGGCCAAGGAAAAAGTTTAACAAAATTTGTTTTCTAGGCCTGCATGGCGAGATCTGAGACCATAATATTAGTAATTTTACAAATTTAGTGGTAAGAATAATCAAATATGAAACTATCAAATCAAAATATATGTAATTTGCGGGGGTGCCAAATGCCTTTGGGGGGGGGTGCAAATAATTTCTGGGGGGGTGCGCACCCCCCCGCACCCCCCCAGAAAATCCGTGCCTGCATGATGGTGTTGATGGTGATGAAGATAATGTTGGTGATGACGATCATGATGGTGTTGATGGTGATGATGATGATGACGGTGGTGATGGTGATTATGATGATTATAATGATGGTGATGATAGTGTGATGATGGTGCTAATGATGGTGGCGATGGTGGTGCTGATAGTTTGGTAGTAGTGATGGTGGTTCCACAACACCAAACATTTAGAAATGACAGTTTAATGTTACCTTATTTTTATCGTCGCACTGGCTGTGAGTTTCAATATAATCGTTAACAGTACAAGGTTTCTTCTCCAAGCATTTAGCGGATCCCGATCCTGCAAATAACGTTAGCCGAGTTTGAAAGAAACGCGATATATTTTGCCCTGGAGCACCATTTCTTGCATAAACCAAGACAAAAACATAGATAATGAAGTCTAATAATATGTCTGCATCGAGTCAAGTCATCGAGTCATCAAGCCCTGGGCAAACTAGGAAACATTGTTGCGGAAACATTGTTTCCGGCCAATGTTCCGGCCATGTTTCCCAGAGTGGGCAAACACTAGGAAACATTAGTGAGAAACATAGGGAAACATCAAATGTTTCTGAATTCGGTAGGAAACATTTTTGCTTCTTGGGAAGCAAATTTTGTTTCCGAAACAATGTTTCCACGAGTGGGCAAACAGGGAAATATTTGAGGAAACATCGAGAATCACAAATGTTTCCACAACAACGCTTCCTAGTTTGCCCAAGGCTGTAGTTTATCTGAAGTTAGAGTTCCAGTTAAGTTCATTTCAATGGCCTAGAGGCTAAGCTCCATTCGAAGACCGGTTACCTCTGCAAAAATAAAATCACCAGGCATGGTTAAAACTTACTGGAATATTGTGTATTCGTGTCACATTTGATGCACTCTGTGGCTCCTTCGCCAGAATAATAATCTGCCGGACACGGGGTGCAACTAAAGATAAAGTGGATAAGCATTAGTTGGCGGACAAGTCCAGGGTTGTTTTTATGTCAGCTCCACAGACCATTGCCTTTGTTTTAGTTTAAATTTCGTGCTCAGAACACTTCAACTGTTTGGGTGAATTTGTTCACCACAACACTACTCGAAACGTTGAAGGACTTTTTTGTCGATTTCAGGCAACTTTTCAATACGCTGTTCCCAAGTTCGTTGCGAACTGGCCAATAGACCTTTCCCCTTTTAAGTGAAATTTTGATCTAGACAAGTCTGGACAAAAATTTCATCACAGCTTGAAACAGCATCACAAAATTAGTAATATTCCGAAGTTTCGTTGCGAAATGTTGTAAAATGCGAATAATATAGCCTTGCGAAGTTTGCCGTTTTTCAGTCATTTTGATTACAAATGGGAAATTGATAATCAGTTTGATCATCTGGGGCCGATTGTATAAAAAAGTGATTAAAGTTAACTATAGTTAGTGGAAACGTCATCCAATAAAAAGCGCGTATTTGAGAGTTAATCACTATTTAACTACAAAATAGTGATTAAAAAAGTGATTAAGAGTTTTATACAACGGCCCCTGGTTATTTCAGCAGCGAACGAAAAAGAGTTAACTACTTTTTAACTGCAGTTAGCGCTAACTACGTTTTTATACAACCGGCCCCTGATTATCAATTTCCCGTGCGTAATACCAAATGACTGAAAAACGGCAAACTTCGCAAGGCTATAGTATCCGCATTTTACAACATTTTGAAACGAAACTTCGGAATATTACTAATTTTGTGATGCTCTTTCAAGCTGTAATGAAATTTTTGTCCAGACTTGTCTAGATCAAAATTTCACTTAAAAGGGGAAAGGTCTATTACGTTATCAAGTTCGGAAGTTGGGCGTGAACTTTGCAACGAAGTTCGCAAGTTCATTTCAAAGTTCGCACTTCGATTGTAAACAAATGTAAAAATTTCATTTATAAATTTATTTAAAAAGGCATTTTCGTCTTGGGAGACCACTGGGCCAATATTTTACTGCAGTAATATGTACATAGGGCCTTATACAGTAATTTTAACTCCAACTATGAACATCTGTTTACAATCAAAGTTCGAACTTTGAAATGAACTTGCAAACTTCGTTGCGAAGTTCACGCCCAACTTCCGAACTTGATAACGTGATTGGCAAGTTTGCAACGAACTTGGGAACAGCGTGTTGAAATGTTGCCTGAAATCGACAGTATTTGTAGCAAGCTTGTCAACAAGTTGTAGCAATGTTGTGACTTTATCAAGTTGCTACAAGGTTGTCACTCATAACTTGTTGAAAAATTGTTGAATTTCAGAACGATGACAAGTTATGTTGGAACAACTTGTAACAAGTCTGTTGAGCTCAACAACCTTGTAGCAAACTTTTCAACAGGATGTGTTCGCAACAGGCTTGTAGCAAGCTTGTCAACAAATTGTAACAATGTTGTCATTCTATCAAGTTACTACAAGGTTATCACTCAGAACTTGTTGACAAATTGTTGAATTTCAGGATGATAACAAGTTGTTGTCAACAAGCCGTTGACAACTTTTCAACAAGCTGGGAACAAGCAGTGCGAACACATCCTGTTGACAAGTTGTTGCAACAGCATTGCTACAAGTCTGCTGCAGGTTTGTTACAACTTGTGCGTTTTTACGTGTGTAGTTCGGAACCTATGTTGGAGATATTGACACCATTAATAACAGCTTCTATACCTGGTAGTGCTCTCAGACTTGGTAAATGAGCCCGCGGGACAAGGAGAACACTCAGACGTATAGGCCACACCTGGAATACAAATAAACATTTCATTTTCTTTGCCAGAAAGAAGTTCGTAACTTGATAATAATATAATTTAGTATTTTTGCACAAGTGAACATAACAAATCCTACAAGTTGATCGGTCAAATTTGACGTATTAAGCTGTTATATTCACCTACAGGTGAATATAAAAAATGGCGGCTAGCCGTTTTCTGGAAGTTACTGATAAAGAGATAAGCGAAATTTAAATAAATCCAATCCCAAAAACACAAAAGACTTGTGTAAAAATACTAAAACAATTATTCGCCTCAGGCTCGGTGCTTATCGGGGAATATTCACCGCGACTTCGTCTCGAATAATTGTTAAATAATAATTTAAAAAGTCTGTCACAGTTACATGTTATTTACAATATCACATACGTTTACAAAACAATAAGCTATACAAAGACAAGTTGTCAGTGATAGAAGAAAGGAACAAGACTTTCGTCCCAATTGACACTTAACCCCTAAAGTCGTTAATATATACACCGGGTACCCAAGATGGACGCTGTTTGATGTCATGTGACGTAAAAGCTATAAAAGCTATCGCAATGTGAAATAACCATCATTGCATTCAGAAATGACTAACTTAGATTTTGATATATAACATATTTATAATGGCCGGATAATGGTCCGGCAAATCGCAATGTATACACGCACTTTAATATGCGGAGCCCGGAGATACATTGTGGAAATTATTGAGTGGAAATTTATATACGTTAATTAGACCTAACTTGAACTTGTGGTCAGAGCTCAACAACAGGCCTCCGTGTAGTTCAGGTGGTTAGAGAGCTTCACCGGAATCACAGGGTCGATTCCAGTTAGGGACTGGTCATAATTTATCAGCGGGGATGGGAAGGTGTAATTCAAAATTTTAAGGAATGATATTTTGTCACCCCGCTTTGCCATAACCCGGAAAAATAATGCCCCCCTCGCTCTCTTGCTCGTGTCAGTAAAAATGTACCTATCTACTACTAAACCCTGCATTCAATAAATTTTCTAATTGCACTTTAAATTTTCTAATTTTCTACTTGCGCTTTAAATCAAATACTAAAATTTATATTATACCAATACATAGTCATATATAAAAACACAAACACTAATGTGAGAAGGCATGTATAAAACAATTGATTGAACTAAAACAGCAGACCCCCTCCCCGCCTTCATAAACTGTCTAATATTTTATGAACCCCCTTCTTCCTGGCTAAAAAATATGTGACCCCCCCCACCACTGTTTCCACCTCCCCACCCCTCCTGCTAAATTATGACCAGTCCCTAATAGTTGCATTTTTCGCAACTGCTCCTAGTTAAGTATAATGAATCCATATATAAATTTCCACTCGATAATTTTCCATCTACCATGCATACCCTTCAACTAAAGATACGATATAGACCGTCCTCCCTGTCTGGCGTCAGTCAGGCTTACAGTACATACCTTGAACTCGAATAGACTTAATCAGGACAGGCTCTCCATTGCGTTCAAGTTTTCGATTGTTTGGAAATAACGCTGCTTGCCACACTATCAGATTGTGACCACGCTTTAGATGAACCTTCAAATTAATATGAAATGTCAAATGAATAAATATATGATTTTTTTGTGCGTTTTGAGGTTATGTACACAGGTGAATATAGAGCGGTTTATCCACACCGGGCAGGCTGAAAGGTTTGCCTGACCACGGTGGGAATCGAACCCACGACCTTTGGGATACTAGTCCAATGCTCCGCCGACGTATCCAAAGGTTCAATTCGATTTCGAATTCTCCCGAGATCAGGCAAACTTTTCAGAGTAACATCAGAAGTAACATCAGAAACAACATGATGTTACTCAGAGTAACATCAGAAAAATAATCAATATATTTTTTTATAGTAAAGGTAGGGGGATTTAGCGCCGAGTGTTGGATCAAAACGAACTGTCATTTCCACAATCTCCCATGCAGAACTGGTACGAACTATCCTGATTAAATGGACAGTATAAATAAAGTTAGTTTAGTTTAGGTTTCCTCCTGTAGTAACACTGAATCAATAAGAGATGATCCTTACTGGACCTCTAAGAAGAACAGTTTAGAACTGATAGAGCTATCCAGTATAAATAAAGTTAGTTTAGTTTAGGTTTAACACTGAATCAATAAGAGATGATCCTTACTGGACCTCTAAGAAGAACAGTTTAGAACTGATAGAGCTATCCAGTATAAATAAAGTTAGTTTAGTTTAGGTTTCCTCCTGTAGTAACACTGGATCAATAAGGATAAGAATAAGAGATGATTCTTACTGGACCTCTAGGAAGAACAGTTTACAACTGATAGAGCTATCCAGTATAAATAAAGTTAGTTTAGTTTATGTTTCCTCCGGTAGTAAGACTAATAAGAGATGATCCTTACTGGACCTCTAGGAAGAACAGTTTAGAACTGGTAAGAACTATCCAGTATAAATAAAATTAGTTTAGTTTTCAAGTTGTTTAGAAATTATTTGGCATCATTCTCCTCCCCTTCCTGTAGTTTCAACCGCTGTCAAAAGTCATCGAGCGTTTACAGTCCAGTATAAAAATACTCACGGTATCATTGTTCCATTGAAAGTTTCTCGTACGCGCAGGATATTTATAAAACTGTTGCCCTGAGCGCATCATGCACTGTTCGTTTCGAACCTGTTTGGGAGAAAACATTTTTCAAGATTAGCGATGCAGAAGCTGGATACTTTGAAGTTTAAAATGATATAATTTATGTACTTACATAAACATTAAAAAAGACATCACTGCTTGGACTCTGATAAGAAAATGTAACTAAACCATCTTTCTTCAACTGAAAGTAAAATCAGTTTAGATAATCAGTTCGAGACGTTATTACCACGCACCAATTACAAACGTAAACCATCCTTTATAACACTTAGTAAGTTTCCTCAAATATTTCTTACGAATCCTTCAAAACTTAGAATTTACCTATGCAAAATTCCTCTGTGATCACAGAAACTTTGATAGTGTAAACCATCCTTTATAACACTTAGTAAGTTTCCTCAAATATTTCTTACGAATCCTTCAAAACTTAGAATTTACCTATGCAAAATTCCTACTGTGATCACAGAAACTTTGATAGTGTTGTAGCATACACATACGTAAAAATCTCACAAATTGTCAACAAGATGTGTTCGCAACAGGGTTGTTAGTAAGGTTTGTAGCAAGCTTGTCAACAAGTTGGAACAACTTGTAACTGATCTGTTGAGCTCAATAACCTTGTAGCAAGCTTGTCAACATGTTGTAACAATGCTGTTATTTTATCAAGTTGCTACAAGTTGTCACTCACAACTTGTTGACAAATTGTTAAATTGCAGGACGATAACAAGTTATTGGAACAACTTGTAACAAGTCTGTTGAGCTCAACAACCTTGTAGCAAGTTGCCAGTAGCAAGTTGCCAGTAGCAAGTTGCCAGTAGCAAGTTGCCAGTAGCAAGTTATCAACAAGTTGTAACAATGTTGTAACAACTTGTCACTAGTCCGTTGAGCTCAACAACCTTGTAGAGGCGCGGGGCCCGTGGCATATGCCGCTTCTGCCACTGCATTAACGCGACTCTGGTACAACTATATTTAGGTAAAGGTAGCAACTATATTTAATAACAATTGTCGTTACTTGTCAACAAGCCGTCAACAAGTTTGTGTTCGCACTGCTTGTCCCAAGTTGTCAACAAGTTTGGAACAAGCTGTTAAAAATTTGTATATATAAGGTTGTTCCAACAAGTCCGATAAAGTCATGATATAACAATATTGTTACAATCTTGCGTTGTCAACCTTGTAACATTCTTGTTATATCATGACTGAGTCAGACTTGTTAGAACAACCTTGTAACAAGTCTGAAAATTTCATGAAACTGGTTACAAGTTGTTCCAAACTTGTTACAACAACTGGGAACAAGCAGTGAGAACACAACTTGTCGACAGCTTGTAAACAGTTTTGTAACAACTTGTTTGCAGACCTGTAACAACTTGTGCGTTTTTACGTTTTACGTGTGTAACATTCTTGTTATATTAGTACGTATCAGTAGACTGTATCAGACTTGTTAGAACAACCTTGTAACAAGTCTGATAATGCCATCAAGCGTGTTACAAGTTGTTAACAGCTTGTTTCAAACTTGTTACAACAACTGGGAACACAACTTGTCGACAGCTTGTGAACAGATTTGTAACAACTTGTTTGCAGACCTGTAACAACTTGTGCGTTTTTATGTCTGTACTTCCTATTGAGAGGACGGGCCCTTAATTACTCTGATGGATCTTATACAGTATGTCTGTGTCATTCTTTAATCGAAAGGTCGAAATTTCGTCGAAACAGATAGTTTGACCCGTTTAAACTGATTACTGGAACGCTAAATTCAAATACTATTTTAGTTAGGTCTTCATTTAAAAATACGCTTAACAATGAAATAAAATTAAACCACAACAATGAAATTATGAAAACTTTTAAGTTTTCAAAATACGTCTTTGTCCTTTGATGTGTAGCATAATATTATCTGAAGAGTGATGGTCACTTGTGTCACTAACGTCATAATTTCACGACTAAATCATTCAAATCCTTATATAGCATTTATATCTCTTCGTAATTTATATCTCTTCGTTTGCAGTGCAAACATATATAGCAATTTGCCATATATAAACTTTCCAGAAACTTACGAATTTCGGCTTTCAATAATTGTGGGAATATTTTCTCTCTGAATTACTAATTATACCGTAATACCGCGAATACTCCGCCTCCGAATCAACAGACTATGCCATGTTGTTGCACTTTATATCGTAGAATAAAAATACAACTTTCATTACAGTAAATACAACATTTAATTCGTTGACGTTGAGAAGATTATGCGCAGTGAACCGACCAAAACTAAACGTAAACATTGTTCCTATTGCTGTTACAGCATTTATAATATTTAAAAAACATTGTAATGTTTATAAACAAAGGAATTTGTTTTCCACAAGTCTCCTTCATCAATGCACACTTCGACAACTGAATTTCTGAAGCATTTTTTTACTCGAATACCTGTTTCACCGCTAAGCACTCTGCCAGTTATCAAAGTGAGAAAATAATGTTCTTTTCATTATATGTAGTAACCTCGTATTTCAAAATAAATGAAATTGAGACATGTACAATGCAGTTTAATTTTCTTGCTCGTAAGTACAGGCAACAGTGCAGAAATTGATCACCATGTTTAAGGCCCATGCCATGCAGACCGAGCGCGATTCGGCAACGCAACGCGAATTTTCAGTTTTTAAAAACAAATAAAACCGTCAACGGATAAAAATTTTACAAGATGTGCAGACCAAATATAGCTAAAATTGCTCAAGTGGTTCCGAATATTTGAAAAACATAGGAAAATATTAAAGTTAAATGTCATATCGGAAAGCTGAAAATTCGCGTCGCGTTGCCGAATCGCGTCCAGTCTGTATGGGCTTAAAGATCGATTTAAGCCGGTTGATTTACAGTACACAACTTTAGCCTAAAACTGTCGCCATCACGTATACAACTCACCAACGACAAATGGTAGACGAGTTCAATGTGTTTGATTTACACAGTACAACTCAAGCTGTAAGCAGGTTGCATGCGACAGTTTTGGGCAAAAGTTGTGTATTGTAGTCTGTAAATCGATCTTAATTAAAACAGGCAACAAACATACCACATTTTCGTTGTCTGACCGAAGCTAGGCCGGTCGCTTCGCACTGATCGGGTTTACGTGGCACAGGCACTCGCCATCTTCCTCCGGCCGAATCGCATTCGGTGAATTCGTATTCATATTCTCCCTAAAACACACACACACAAAGACATAGTATTGTAAACACCATCGAAGACAGCATAAACTAGTCGAAGTTTACATCGACGATTAAAAATAAAAGCACACGTTCACAATAAAACAAAAGGCGAAAATATACTCGTAATACCTCTTTACAAGCGGGTAATCTCGCCAAGGCGGCAGGAATTGCCAAGAGAAGCAATAGCAAATACATTGTCAGAAAAGACTTTTTAGCTCGCAAGCGTACGGCTTTCAAAACAGATAATCCCACTCCTTAGACAAAAAATAGTTTAAAATACGACCTATTTTGAAGCGATCGCATACGAATTAAGCCCTTATTTGTCTCGCTTGAAACAAGTTTGACACGAAAGCGGTCAGCTGGCAAAAGTGGGGAAATTTGCAATGCAAATATTTGAAATATTATCTCGAAGAGTGTCGGCAAAATGCAAATAAAAGTCGGCCATGTTTACTTGCGGAATTAATTCAATCATCAAAATTCAAAATGGCGACGACTTAAGCAGGGGGAAGGGGAATCACTATTGAAACGACTGAGTTTTACTGGACCGGGGGAATAGGAGGAGGGATTCGCATACTATATACATCTATCGTCGAGTAAAGGCTGTTTTCTACTCCAACCGTATCGTTTCTTTGTTTCCTGAGTACTAGAGTGGACTAATGACTTCAACACAAAAGAAAATGTTTCGATACGTACGTTGAACTTGAAGTGCTATCCTTCCCCTTTGATTCAGTGTTATTACAATTATAGATTACCTAAACTAAACTTTATTTATATGCTGGGTAGCTCTATCAGTTCTAAACTGTTCTTCCTAGAGGTCCAGTAAGGATCATCTTTTATTGATCCAGTTTTACTACAGGAGGAAATCTAAACTAAACTAACTTTATTTATACTGGATATAGCTCTATCAGTTCTAAACTGTTCTTCCAGAGGTCCAGTAAGAATCATTTCTTATTGATCCAGTGTTACTACAGGAGGAAACCTAAACTAAACTAACTTTATTTATACTGGATAGCTCTATCAGTTCTAAACCGTTCTCCCTAGAGGTCCAGTAAGGATCATCTCTTATTGATCCAGTGTTACTACAGGAGGAAACCTAAACTAAACTAACTTTATTTATACTGGATATCTCTATCAGTTCTAAATGTTCTCACTAGTGGTCCAGTAAGGATCATCTCTTATTGATCCAGTGTTACTACATGAGGAAACCTAAACTAAACTAACTTTATTTATACTGGATAGTTCTATCAGTTCTAAACTGTTCTTCCTAGCGGTCCAGTAAGGATCATCTCTTATTGATCCAGTGTTACTACATGAGGAAACCTAAACTAAACTAACTTTATTTATACTGGATAGTTCTATCAGTTCTAAACTGTTCTTCCTAGCGGTCCAGTAAGGATCATCTCTTATTCATCCAGTGTTACTACATGAGGAAACCTAAACTAAACTAACTTTATTTATACTGGATAGTTCTATCAGTTCTTAACTTTTCTTCCTAGAGGTTCAGTAAGGATAATCTCTTATTGATCCAGTGCTCTACAGGAAGAAACCTAAACTAAACTATCTTTATTTATACTGGATAGCTCTATCAGTCTAAACTGTTCTTCCTAGAGGTCCAGTAAGAGTCATCTCTTATTGATCCAGTGTTACTACAGGAGGAAACCTAAACTAAACTAACTTTATTTATGCTGGGTAGTTCTATCAGTTCTAAACTGTTCTCCCTAGAGGTCCAGTAAGAGCCATCTCATATTTATCCAGTGTTACTACAGGACTGAGGAAACCTAAACTAAAATAACTTTATTTATACTGGATAGCTCTATCAGTTCTAAACTGTTCTTCCTAGAGGTCCAGTAAGGATCATCTCTTATTGATTCAGTGTTACTACAGGAGGAAACCTAAACTACACTAACTTTATTTATACTGGATAGCTCTATCAGTTCTAAACTGTTCTTCCTAGAGGTCCAGTAAGGATCATCTCTTATTGATCCAGTGTTACTACAGGTGGAAACCTACACTAAACTAACTTTATTTATACTAGATAGCTCTATCAGTTCTAAACTGTTCTTCCTAGAGGTTCAGTAAGGATCATCTCTTATTGATCCAGTGTTACTACAAGAAGAAACCTAAACTAAACTAACTTTATTTATACTGGATAGCTCTATCAGTTCTAAACTGTTCTCCCTAGAGTCCAGTAAGGATGATCTCTTATTGATCCAGTGTTACTACAGGAAGAAACCTAAACTAAACTAACTTTATTTATACTAGATAACTCTATCAGTTCTAAACTGTTCTTCCTAGAGGTCAAGTAAGGATCATCTCTTATTGATCCAGTGTTACTACATGAGGAAAGCTAAACTAAACTAACTTCATTTATACTGGATAGCTCTATCAGTTCTAAACTGTTCTTCCTGGAGGTCCAGTAAGGATTATCTCTTATTGATCCAGTGTTACTACAGGAGGAAACCTAAACTAAACTAACTTTATTTATACTGGATAGCTCTATCAGTTCTAAACTGTTCTCCCTAGAGGTCCAGTCTTATTGATCCAGTGTCACTACAGGAGGAAACCCAAACTAAACTAACTTTTTTTATATTTGGGTTACAAAGTTACAAAAAATATACAGTACTACCAGAAATTAAAGAACACATTTGAATCAATGTCGAATAATTTTATTCAAATATAATACAAGA